CTTAGGCCGAAAATTTTTCTAATCCTTGAGTTTACAGAAAGAATTCAAAAAAATATACTGAAAGACTCCAATGCTGAAAACTAAATAAAAAGAAGACATTGTATTGTTTTTCGTATCACAATCTTTGGGTGAAATGCAGGATTATTTAAACAATTTGGGTTTGTAATAATGAGAATAATGAGAACGTGCTTACGTTATCAGAACCTAAGCAGCAGAATCTGAAAAACTACATTTAAACTCTTTCATTGAACGTTTCCATTTGGCGGGACAAAGTAAATGTTTATCTCAAGTACAAAAATGCTATTGAGAAGAAAATCAAGCTGGTTTGGAATCTGCAAACTTAGGAATTCTTCTCTTCTGGATTCCATTGTATCTGAATCATCTTACTTTTTAAATGGCTACATAATTTGGATTACAACGTTCCTGAAGTGATACAATGGGCAAGAGTTCTCATGAAAAAAATCCCAACGCCAACTTGCTACCATGCTATAACACTGCTGTCCATAAGAGGTAATTATGAAAAGGAAGATAATCTGACAATCAAAAGTTTTAAGCTATGACTTTTTCCATCGATTTTAATATAACATATATTTGTCTTTCTAAAAGAAGGATTTTTTTTCAAAGGAATTAAGTGTTCAGTAATAATTGGTGTGTTTTTTTTTCTCCTCTCTAGTGTTCATAATGGCTTCTGGGCTTTTGGTTTACCCTTTTGGTTTCAACTCTGCTACTGTGAAGAGATTCTGTGAGAATTCAGACATCTACTATGCAGGCGACTGCCAGATTGGATGGGGGTATATGCTGGCAATTGTTGGGGTCATGTTGTCTGTCTTTTTACCATTCTTTGCAAAATATGCACCAAAAGAGCACATATCTCCAACTCCAATACCTACTATTTTATAGTATTTTATTACTGTTTAAGAAAAGAACATTCCTGTCTACAGGCAATGGGCAGAAATTATTATAGCACTTCCATTTAGCTGTATTGCTACAGAGAAAAAAGGAGATGGGGAAGAGAAGGTCTGATTCACAAAGACCAAAAGTGCATTGATAGTCTTCCGTACGTATGAGCAGCGAGCACTCTGGAATTGAAATAAGATTAATCAGCAGCCTTGATACTGCTCTAAAAATATAGTGGCATAATGCCTTAGACAAAAAAATCTGTTTATCCTCAAAACATCTGTCTACCTCCCAGTTTCTTTTGTGTCTCAAAATCGTAAGTCTTTTAAAAGCTTCGGTTCACTTTTTATATATTATTAGATGTCAAAACTTTTATGAACCCATTAATTTTAAAATCAATAATGATATTTTGTTACAATTATTTTGATTAGTGAATAAGCACCTACTAGTAGCCACGGCCTAAAATTAAGCTTAATATCGAAAAAGAATTGTATACAAGAAAAAAATTTCTTTTTAATCTATATGTATTCGTAGTACCTGCTTACTGTAAGTTGTTGGCACACTTTTTAATACTGAACTAATCTTCAAGATTTACAGTCATCTTCCTGAAGACTTGCATGAAATTTAGATTACTGTTTCAGAGAGAGAAAGATCTAACCACTTCCAAAGGCTTAATGATGATTTAATAGCAGGAAAAAAAAATTCAAAGATATTGGTTTTGTTATTTCTTAAATTATAATTTTAGGTGGACTTTTACAAAATTATTTGAACTATTACAACTGTAGATTTGGGGTTCTGCTGTTTGTTTTTTAAGGCCGAAAAGAAAAATCTCTGTTTACAAAAATGTATGTGCCCAAAGGCCCTTGCATGTAGTGATAATACAAGCCAGAATGAACTAGATTCTACTATTTCCATTACTATTAACAGCCCATTATTGTTTAAAAAAAAAAAAAAGTGAAGTGAAATGCTACGGAACACTACTAATAGGAATCTGATGCCATGTCAGAACTAGCAAATGGCCATATTTCATGGGTTTGTATGTGAAATTTGTGAAGTCTGACTTCCACAATAGCACTGAATTCATTACTATAAAGCATTGAAATAAGTGCACTTGATTGCCTTAAGCAAAAGAAACATTGGGTTCTAATCTCACCCCACCGTTATGTTTTTTCATTTAAAATAAAATTGAATTCTGATTGTATTCTCATCTTTTATTTTCTATTATTTATTAAAAAAAATAATCACATAGATTATATTTAATTCAGAGCTGTACTTGTTAGTTTTGTATTTTGGCACAAACCAAGTGATCAAATTTATTATTCTTCACTTAGCTGGGTCCAACTGATTCCTGAATATTTTTTTTTTTAATGGAAATAGTATATGAAGGGACAGACAGAGACATGTTGAGGATGTATAAGAAAATGCAAACAGATAGAACAATCACCGTGTTACTTTAATAAATGTCAAAGACTTCTGCAGTCTTGTTTACATTCCTCACCCTTCTAAACTTCAATGGAACGTTGCATTGTTTTCCAAAATAATTGTCTGTTGTTATTTTCATGCACTCTAAAAGCAAATTCTGCACATAAACTTAGCAAGTTCCATTACTAATCTTTGAAAAATACAGATTTTAATGTAGAATTAAGTATACTGAGAAAGAGAGAAAGAGCGCGTGCTATGCGTTTTTGCTCACAGTGACTAAGGAAGTTATCTTCCAAATATTTAACAAAATAGGTTGAAGGAATGCCTCTAAAGTAAGAAGAATAAATTTCAGTCACTTCTATATAGTAATGTACTTTTCAGTAATGTCTTACACTTTTTTTAATGAATGGCTGAAATGGATAGTTTTCATGTAACAGTCAGAAAAGTGAGGAATAACAAACAGCATGTAAAAAGAAAACCATCGCCGCAAAGTAGAGAGACAGAGATGCAGGCTTTTCTTTCCTAACCAACCTGTGCCTTTACACTAGAACGATTATACAAGACAGGATCAATATGGTTAAAAAAAAAAACACCAACCAACAACTGAAAAATGTTGAGTAATGTGTATAAACTGTATTACGTAGGGTTTTTTCTGTTTTGTGTAATGTTTACGACTGTTCACTTAATGTTTCACTAGAAAAAGTGATTTGTTAGTGTAAAGTAGAAAACTTGTTTTGCAAAGATCTAAACACTTACTGAAAGTAAAATTATTTTAGATTTTTATTAACAGCTATAACATACCTAGTAGACACAAATGATCTATTCCTGTCATTACTTATTAACATAACTTTCACAAGTGCAGAATGGGAACTATCACTCATTCAACTGAAATTAGGAGGACTATAACATTTGTGTGATATTGAGGACACACACAGATGCTTGCAAGTCTGGTCCCATAGTCCAAGCTCCCTTTGTAGTTTTAAATTACTGTTACAGTGGAGTCTTACAATTTAAGCACTGCTGTACCAAATCCTTTACTTCTTAAAACTCAGCTTCTTCTGTTGTGAACATTGTCAAGCTCTACATCCTGTAATATTCTGCGCCTTTTATGAGTTAAGCTAATGCTTCCATTTGGAACTTTCGTTACTATTTTATAATATATAAAGGGAATCAAATATATGTATATGACCTCTGCAATTGGATAGACAAAACTCTCCTTGAAACGTCCACGCTCAGAACCAGCTTAGCACAGGAGGTAGAGATGATAATGCAAGTGATTCTTACAACAGTTAGTAAAGCACATACTTTAGGTCCTCAACTGGAACATTAAGGGGGGTGTTGCTAACAATACATGTGCTAACACTGACAGATCACTTTTTAAAATAAAGATTGTCTGTGCATTAAACTGTGTAAAAGCATTTTCCTGTTACAAGTCAAACGATTTACTGGACCAGGTTCAAGTTTTATTCTAAATATATAATTTTTTAAGTGTAACTAAAAGCTGTATTTTCCATTAATGTGTTTCTGCGTTGACTAGCTGGCTCCTTTTTAGAATATTAACTGTTTTCTGTATTTGACTTGTTGGATACAATATTTCAATTATTTTAAATGTGAAATTTCCAATTGCCAACACTGTATAATAAAATTAAAAAAAAAAAAAAAATCACACTGTTCGCTATTTTCTTGACAACAATTTTCTTTTGTTTTACAATTCCCAACAGATCTGGGACAAAGCTTTTGAAGTAGGGGAACTAGCTAAGGGGAAAAGGAAATAGAAACAAAAAACAGGAATAATCTATCAAAGTTAATGTTTGAAGGCAAAGACACATAAACATGTACATGGTCCACCCCTCATGAAAGATGTTTCTATGGCAAAGGCAAGGAAGTTCTGTGTTCAAATAATTATTTCTCTCCAATTTCCTCTGTGTCCTTGAGAAATCTTCCTACAGCTTCAGGGTCTGTTGCTATTTTATACAGATGTTACACTGATTATTTATTTTAAAAAAAATATGAATCAGATAACATATCAATGGGAACCATATGAATACCTAATATATACAGCTGCGTCCTGTGAAATTTTTCTGTAGTATTTATTATGTTCATTTCTAGAAAAGCTTTTACACATGTTCTTGTAATCCAGCAATGGAAAGGGAACCTGTTAGTTGGAACTGGAGTAAAGACTGCCTTCTTACTTTCTACCAAAGAGCAGTTTTAATGCAATATGCAGAGCCAAAAAGAACTTTGTTGACATTTGTTAGCTATTAAACTTTGATGAAATACTCCTCAAAAGAAGTAGATAGTCAATGCTTTGAAGTAGGTATTGAAGGAATTTCTCAAAATTCAAGATAATGAAAAGCAATGGCAATCTGAGTTAGTATTGATAATCTTTTTCTAAGACACTTGCATTACTGCAACACTTAAAACATTTTAATTCAGAATTTCTCCAATAAAAATCTATGTAACAAAACCCTGTTATTGCATATTTAACTAGAAAAGATAAGCTATGAAATGTAATAGTGGAAACAAAACATTGTTACTAACATGTGTTGGATAACACAGAATAGTGATATTTTCAATTATTTAATCAGCTTTTCAGTATTAGTTTTGGTAAATGCTTTAGGATGTCCAGCCTTTAAGGGTAACAATTAGTGAAAGTTGGTTTTGGACAACCATTTTGGCTTTTAAATTTCATTCATTGTTTTTACATATGCTGTCATCTCAAAATCTGCAATTTTAACAAATTCTTGGAAAGTGTTTTGTTCTTGAATAGTTGCTGGTCTTACAGAGACGCACTTGAAAATGTTCCTTTTTGTGTCATAGTTTCCCATGCACCTGTGCACTCGACCTCTAATTAATCTTGGAAGCTCTCGGTCCTTCATCAAAAGCATAATAAACAAATAAAAAAAATTATATCACCTAACATAAAAGCTTTCAAAATGTCTGGTTTCTCAAGACTACACTGAAGGAATTTACATCAGCTTTTTTGCTATTATCAACTACTTAGAAGCTGTACTGGAAGTCCCACCTGTTTTGCTGAAAAAAAAGTCTGAGGATGCCTAAATAGTGACTGGATTATTGCTCTAGACCAGTTTGGGAACAACATGGTATAAGCATTCAGCTTGCCTTTTACACAGTCATTTTCTATTTTATCAGAACAATGTATTATTAGTTTCATAAAAGGGATTATAGGTAGTGGTGTCTGTGTTAGGTATGGACACAGAATACTTACAATTTCATAAAATACACAAGGCAGACTCTCCTTTCCATCTCTCAAAAGAAAATTCTTTGCCCCATATGCTCCAGGTGTGACTGCAGAATCAAGTGTGCCTATACCATTTAGCAAAATGACAACATTTACTACACAAAAGCACAAAGATATCTAAAGTCAGCCTCAGCTTTCTGTGAGAACCAGTGCTAACAGCATGAAAGTTCTAATACAAATTACGGGCTTGATATAGTCTTTGAATAGTATCATTGTATATGATGTCACCGTAAACTTAGTGACCAAATGTGGTTTTCATAACTGTCATTGTAAACAGATTATCCCCTTGTTAAGCAGAGCACAACACAATTCTCTCTAAGTTTTATTGATCTTCATATGCAAATAAACTTTAAATATTTGCAACCTTGTCAAAATAATAGTTTTCTGAGATGCCATTACATTGTATATTCTTATTCACTTTGATTTAAAGTTTAGTCATTTCAGTCTTTTGCCATGTTCATTTCTCAGGTAACGTCAATTAAAACACAAAGTAAAACACACTATGAGTCACCTATGTTTAGAAGTACTCCAGACTTGAAATTATTCCTAGATTAAGTGTCTTAAAAATTACTGTAGAACAGTACCTCTCTACAAAGGGTTCCTATTAAATAGAAAAATTTATTGTAACACATTCTAAAAACAAGGAAAGAAAAGAAAGAGGAAAGAAAGAACTTAAATTTTGGAGGATGATTGTATTATTAATTTTGTAGCTATTTTAGTCACCTTTGATAGCTGAACGGATCTCCCAGCAGCAAAACTAGATGTTGCTCATGCCAATATTTTGTGGGTTTAAGTATATTTCAGCTATTGTTCCTACAGTTAATAAAATTTTCTCTTGGCTATTGTCTTACCATTATTATCAGTTATAGCACAATCTACCATGCTTACCTAAAACTTCAAATAATAGTGCAGTTTTATAAGCATATTGACTCCAGTGCCTCATACTTTCAATGACTGCAGATATGATTCGCAAAGAATTCTTTTTTTCTTTAATTTTTAATTGAGATGATGAAATTTCCTTTCAGAGGAAGATGAAAACTCAAGTTAGAGGTACACACTCACACATTTTTAAAAGCCCTTTAGACATTTATATATTATGTTAAATATCCAATATTTACATTAAAATTAGAGTATTTGTTCACAGTATACAAACAACTCCCTGCCAATTTCTGTGATCACGCTGAGGATTGTAGGTTATTATAGTATGAAAATCTCAATTCTAAATTTTCAGAAACCTGAGCGTTTACTAAAGCAGCCAGGACTGATAAAAGCCTCATCTTTCCTCAATTTTCTTTTTCTTTACTGTTTTCTTCATAGTACCTTCCTACTAACTCACTCTGTAAGTTTACCTGACTTTTGCCTTCTGGAATACAATCAAATTGCTTTTCATTCATTTTATTTTGCTGAATATCGTGGTTAAATTTATATGCCAGGCTATGATCCCGCAGACTTCTTGAAACAGTGTTAGGTTTCACTGGCCATTGTCCTTTAGAGGTGCTTGTTTGCCTGGTTTCTGTTGTTTTGATAAACTGAGATGAATTACAGTTATCAGGGGTTTTTTGCTGATGGACAGTTTTCAAACTGTTTGAAAGGTTCTTGAACTTTTCAATAATTCCACTATCAGATCTTGAATCTGTTGTGTTACTTAAAGGAGTATATTCATTTCTGTTCCAAACTTTAGTACTGGGAGCCTTCTCTTCTACCCTGCAGTACAACATAGAACATATAGTTCCGTATCATAATATCTATTCTGAATACTCAGATATGTTATTAAAGCATATAAAAGCAATCTACGTGTTGTTGTTTTAGCTTTACAAACATCTGTTAAATATTCACTTGAGTATACATTTAAATTTATGCATATACAGGGCAGTGATCCCACCTGTGCTTAAATCCAGCTGAATTCAATAGGCCTTAAAAGCTTGCTCAATTATTGTCCTGCTCTGTATAAATGATCTTAGATTCACCTAAGATTGACCTAAGATTCACTTTTTTTCCATAACTCTAAAATACAATAAACAAAGTTTCTTCTGAGAGTGGTATTTCCAAATTCTTCTACCACCATCACTGAAGAAATCATTTTACAGCAAACTCTAGTGCTGACCTTATTACTTCTAACACACGTCTTTATAAAGGCGGCTCAGAAATTCCTTCCACCTCCATTCCATTTTGCCTTTGAAGGCACTTGTTTGAAATATTCACTCTCTTTTTGCCATTGGAAAGGAACAGGAGGAAGGGAAAAGAGAAAAAAGACAATTATAACATTGCTGGAAGTTTTCCTGCCAGCTCTAGGCATCTGAATCTGTAAGCTTTCCTTTGGTTTATAAAAACAGAGAGTTCACAGTTTTGATTAAATGTTTTGATATAAAATTGCCCTAATGTACACTGATAGAAACTTATTTGGGTCTATTGATAAATTTGGGTTGAAAGTGGGCAAAATTTCAGGTAAAGGGGAATCTCAAAAAATTACATCTAAGACCAGCAAAATTCAATCAACATTTACGGTAAGACTGAATTTTAGGCCTGATAATAAGGCTAGATATTAGGTCTACTTAACAGGCTTCATTAGGTACACTGCAAAGATGCTTCATTTCAGTGGGTTTTGGCTCATAAGCACAATGTAATTATTTAGGACTACAGTGATGATCTGAGAATTAAAAGGGTGTCTCTGCTGCAAGAATATGGAAACATGTAAGATATATTTTCACATAATAATAATTTTGGTTAAGGAAGGATAATAAAAATCAAAGACTCCACCAACCTGCAGGCATACAGGCTTTTCCCAGCATTTGCTACATTAGACTTTGATGCATTTGGTGGTTTCATAAGGGAAGGAGCCATCTGATGTTCTGTTCGGCTTTCAAAGATAAGTTTAAAGTATCATTGACATAGCAGCAGCTTTATTGTAAGACAGACACGTGGATCACAGTTTGTGAAACAATTAGTACCCAAATAAAAATGAATAAGCAACAAGTAATCTGCTTTTACATACCTATTGTTTGCTGCTCTCTGTAGTTCAGTCGCTTCTGGGTTTGCAGCTCCCCAGCCTAATTCTCAAAAGACAAAGATTCAATATGGATACAAACTGAAAAGGTTGAAAGGTAATAGGTCTACTTAGGGCTCCTACTCTTTATCTGCTTAATGTTCCCCAAATAGTCTCACAAAGGAAGAAGAAGGGGGGGAAAAAAAAAAAGAAATGTGGTCCATTGATATCTGTAATTATAAGGCAACTTCTAACAAGTACATTCCTTCTCTACACAATAGTTAAGTTACAGACATTAGACTTACTAGCACAGAGACTTTTACTTTATTACAAGTAAAACATGATGAAAGTACTAAAGGCAGAATTCTGCATCATTCTTTCCAAGCACAATTTGAAGAACAGAAGTTCTCTTCTGAATTACAAGAAAGACATCTTATAAATGTTTCTTCTTGTAACATAGGACTTGAATGTTGATTGAAATCAGCTGAAAACAAAAGGTCAGAGTTTCAAGAGACTCTATTTAAATGCCAGTGCTACTTCATTCTCTAACACACAAAGAGTCAAACTCCCTCTAGGCATTAAGTATAAGAAGCTCAATTGTATAAAGCGGAAAGAAATTTCCCAGAGGACATTTTTTACATAATGAACTTTTCAGAAATAAACATAAAGGATGCATATAGTTCTTGATAAAGACAATGTCTAATTTAGTAAAATACAATCATAAAGTTAAGATTAATTTGAATTTCAGCAATTAAAAAAATAAAATAGATCTTATTTACCAAATGATGTGGTAGAAAAGTCATAAGTACGAGTCCCAGAACTGGTACCTGGCTCATTTTTAAGTGGATTTGAAGTGAGGGGCTGTCTATTTCTTTTTTTCTGATTGAACAGAGGTACAGGCAGACAACCTAAAATTAAAATTCAAATAATACTATACCAATCTACACTTAAAATATGTAAATAAAATTACTTTACAATTATTTTACATCACCCATAGGATTTACATTTCATAAGCACATAACAGACCAGCCATTGCCCCACATAATTTATATTCCCAGCTCTCTGTCCTGCACATAATCCCATGAATGAAACATTTCCCTTCGCAACCAGTCCCCTGACTCCGTTCAAATTCTTGCCCTGTGCTGTACTAAAACAGATAACTCATGCAAGTCCACTCAGGAAATCGGGGTCTAGGACTGAATACTGTATATCCTCTATGAATAGTGCATATATGTGTGTGTGTATATCTCTGTATGAGCATAATGAGGTATGAATGGTAAAGCACAAAAGAATGAACTGTACCTGCTGTGCTGCGTGTTGAAGTGTCAGCTAGACTCCTTTTCATTTCTGTGCTGTATCTTAATAGGCAACAATGTATTGATTACTCCAAATTTGCTGTATGGAAGTGAGATAAACAAAGTAGACTAATTCATGCTGTACAAATACCTAAATTTTATGTGATTTTATGGCATTTTCTCTTAACTCTCTGTATACCCAGTGACATGCATCACTTCAGACACAAGCCTAAAACATGTGAGCAGTTGTACTGAATGTAGAAGATCCACAGCTATGCAAGTAACATGCAATTTCTCTTTGCATATTAAGGGCCCAAATGATTACATTTTTGAAGTAAGAGTTGTAGTCTCTGCTTTTTTAAGTGCTGTAAAAATACTGAATTCACTTCTGAATATAAAAGTAGATATACATTCAAATATAAGGAATAATTTTTAATTCCTGAAAATAGAATACTGATAGAAAATGCATAATTATATATTGCTGCAAAGTATGATGGCAAAGTACATGGCTTTGAATAAAAAACTGATTTAACTATCCTGTGAAAAATAGTGTCATGCTTCAAAAAATAAATTTCTTTTCTGTACTTTATGGTACAGACCTAAAACCTTTAGCCAATTTCCTCATGTATAAAATACTTCACAAGTGAAGAGAACATTATTATCAACCAAATATTATGAACAGAAAAAGTATATATTAGCATATTGGGTACAGGTAGTTTGCTATATTTGTTTTCTGATTAATCTACTTCTATAGTAAATATCTATGTGTTACCATATACATCAAGGATACTACATAGCGTGTTGTGTAGCATTAGTTGCTATTCTATCAAAGTTAGTTACTGATGCATATTGCCTTTAGTGGCATATGAATAACGCTGCATACTTGTGTCTGTGAAATACATCAATTACATCTATGACAACATTACAGCAGCTTCTAGTTCATTGCTGTTACACAATTTAAACTATATTGCTAGCACTAGGAAGCCTAATGGCCACCAGTAAGTGCCATACTTGTAAAATAAAACCCCATAAACTTGACATTTCAGTTTATGAAGCCAGTCTTGGTCTTGCATAAGATTTTAGACTGTATTGTTTTGCCTTCTGTCCTCTCCTGAAGATAAGCAAGCAAAACCAAGAGCTACAGCTGTAGCAAAAAGTAAGCTAAGGATGGAGAACAGAGATACCAGGGTAAGCCTCCACCGTACTCCACACAGGAGTAGCCACAGGCTAAAGGCGTCTGAAGCCCTTCCTGGAGTCTGAAGGATAGGGCTGAGGTAAAGCCCGCCAAAAATAACGGACCGAACGGCCACGCTCTCGCGCCTACGTGAGTGAGAAAAGGGCGGGAAGGGGGTGGCCGCCCTC